ACGTGAGAGACCCTTTTTTTTACCTTTGTCTCATCCGTCTAAAGGACTCGTACAGGAGTGCAGGAGTTGATGTATGGAAGAGTGAGTTTGTGCGGAGCCTCAGGAGCATCGCATTAGCATATGTAGACAGGAGGTTAATAGCCCAGAGGCTCTGGTCTGACAGAATCACAAAGGTTACTGAAGCGAAAGGAAAAAAATGTCTGATATCTAGATTTCAAGCCAACTGAAAGCAAGTGCAATTAGGCTTCTGTTGTTATGGCTGATTTCAGATGGGACATTGAGTCAAAACTGAAAGATTTCCATTCTAAATATGAAGGAGACAGAAATTTCACCCACTTTGACAACAGTTAACAATGGCAACAAGATTCCAATGTGTCAATTTTACAAGATATCTGAAAGCAAAGTCAACAGACAGATGTGATTTTACATCAAATAATTATTACCCATTTTGTACACTTTTACACTAAAATAGAAGCTTTTACAATAAACTCAAGCTGTATCGCCCTGAGCCTTTAGTGGAAAGGCTGTCAAATCAATACCCATCCATTCAGCCAGTTTTATTCTTATTTGTAACAGGGTAGTAAAAACAGTCCCAAGTCAGGAGTTCAAGTGACACAGCCCATTAAAGTCAAGCAGTAAAAGTCAGTTCTTAGCAGTAGAGTGGTCGGAGTCTTGGGAAAATCCCATCAAGGCCTTATGTCTTTTTTCGGCAGGGTTAGAAAGGAGTGAGTACCTCTCTCTATTCATATCTTTTATGTTCCAAGCTTCACAGTGTAAAATAACATCAACAATAAAACTGAGTGACATAATGCAAGCACTTTTTATGGCTAAAATAAATCATATCGACTTTCAGTGATGCAACAGAAATGCGTTTGCTCTAAAGTCAAGAGATCGCAAGTTTGAATCCTGACAACGAGACAGGAGAGCGAGGAGATGCCAAGGGAGCGAGATTGGCTGTGCTGTCTGGGTGGGAGGGATGGCACACACTGTCTCCTCTGTCAATCACAGTGACACTAGCCGATCATGGGCCTCTGTGAGTTCATGTATGCAGAAGAGTGTGGAAAGCGCTTTCCTCTGAGTGTGTTACGCTGCCCTGTGATGCTGCATGAGCAACAGTTCAGAAAGATGTGGTTGGCTGGCTTCACACATCTCGAAGGAAGCATGTGTTAGCCTTTACCCTCCCTGGTTGGTAACTGTCTTATGATAGACCAGAGCTGGCTTGTGGGTGGAGATATATATATATGTATATATATATGTGAAATATACAGCATATATGCATGTGTGTATGCATATCTATATTATACACTATTTTTATTTAAGGGGTATGGTTGAAATTTGCTTCTAAGACAAATGTAAACAGAGTTCATGTCTATGTATTAATGTCTTTCTGAATCAAAATTCATTCATCCATTTATCTTCATTAAATACTTTCTGCTGGTCAGGGTCACAGTGAAGCCGGATCCTGTCCCAACAACTCCGGATGAAAGGCAAGAATACAGCCTGGATGAGACACCAATCCATTGCTTGTCATCACACACAATTTTACACACACTCAAGCATTCACACCTAGGGGCAATTTCTCATAGCCAATCCACCTATCAGCATGGGACATGGGAGGAACCCATGCAGGACACGGGGAAGACAAGTGAAACTCCACAAAGACACAGCTCTTACACCGAGCTCAAGATCAAACTGAATCTGAACCAAAATGTAATTTTAATTAATAGTTTTTACTTTTTAAAAAATTACAGTGCAAATAGATTTCATTTAGATCAAATGAGAAGCAGTGAGGAGCTATTTGGGAAACTTAAGAAAAGCTCCTCCCTGATGCAGCTGGTTGAGAAAATGCCAAGAATGTATAAAGCTTCATCAGGAATACTGTTAAGAATTTAAAATGTAAAATTATTTTGTTTAACACTCTAGGTCACTGGATAAAGTAATATGTGTAATTTCATGGTGTTAAAATCTTCATTATTAGTCTAAAATAGTAGAAAACAGTACAAATGAAGAAACCCTTTTGGCTGGTAGAGTACCTACTCATTATTCTTATTTTGTTGACTTTGGTGTGTCAGAACATGAGGGCCATGTGTTTTGCAGTGTTTTTGTGCACTCTCGATGAACAGAGACAGAAGTTTGCCATCACCAAAGGGAGTTATCGACAGGCAGGGAATCAGTCTCATCTTTATGCATAATGAGGAAGTTTATTTTGGAAACATCAGGTCCTTTTTTTTCTAAATTTTATCTTACAGAGGATGAGACATGATGTTTCTATTCCCCGCTCTGCACTCCACTTCGCCACATCACACCACTGCAGAAAAAAAAGGAGCAGTGGGAATTCATCATGAATACAGAAGCATAATTCAAAGCTGCAGATACAAAACAACCTTGTTTGCAGTGAGGGCGACGCGAAAAAAAGTTAAGACTCTGATTCCACACTCTTGTTCTTTAAATATGATGGTATTTCAATTGTTTTAAATATAGATGGGTCCATAAATAGTGGAAATCCATAGCAGTAACAGAGATTTTGCCGTTGGCTGCCATGTGTTTTCACAATCTCCCATTTCAGCACTACATCTTCTAGAGACACGACTGAAATAAACAAAGAATGTGAGAGCTTTGTGGGAGTAGCAAAGTCATAAGAAATAATTCCCTTTTCTATCACTTTGGGTCTGCCAATAAAAGCATCTGAAATAGATGTGTGTCTCAGGACAGTTTAAAAACGAAGGAATACAGCAATAGTAATCCACTGTACACAGCGACACAATGAGGTCAGGCGTAGGATAATTGCACACCACGATGTGAGAAGCACAATGATTAGGTAATTTAGACACTTTAGATATCTTTGAATCTAATGAGTATAGATGTATATAATTTACATTACTTTGAAATATTATCTTCCAGACCTGCCAAGTGTGCCACTTGTTCATTAACCTTTCTGTGGCTCCTCCAATTTCTTTGTAATCACTGCAAAAATATATATCTTAGCAAGTAAGTATAGGCAAATACAGTACTGTGCAAAAGTCTTACACACAAGCAAAGAAATGCTGTAGAGCAAAGATGCTTTCAAAAATAATGAAATTAAATGTTTCTACATTTAAAAAATACTATAAAGAGCAGTAAGCAGTGATAAATGAAACAAAGTCAATATTTGGTGTGACGATCTGAAAAAAAATAGTAGTCTCAGGTACAATTTGTGCAGTTTTATAAGGAAATGAGCTGTAAGTGTTACTGAGCATCTTGCAGAAGCAGCCACAGTTCTTCTGGAGACTTTGATTTGCTTCTTATTTTTGCAGCAAAACCCAGCAGCCTTCATTATGTTTTCTGCCTGAAAAGTCTCTTATATAATATGCTGCTTTCTTTATACTGACATACAAACATTTTTCTGTAACATTTAATTTTTTGCTGGAAAACTAATCTAAAATTGGTAATTTAAAATGTTTTTGTACTGACTCAATAACATAGAAGTCCTAAAATAAAATCTATAACAAAGTTTGTACTAAAAAATAGAGTGCCTAAGACTTTTGCACAGTACTGTACGGCTAATATTTCTCATTATGAGCTTATTAAAAATAATTTATGTAGCCTATTTTATACATTTTTACTACTGTCGACTTATACATTTTTCAACTGTGTCGTTCCATAGGCAGATAATTTAACTTTAGTTTGTTTTTTACAAATAAGCTAAATGATCTGCCGGTTGAATAAAACTATTTTGAAATGAATAAACTTCTCTAGAAATAGAGTAAATATAGGAAACTAAGGGGTTGGTTGTTTTCCTGTGACAGCATATACCAAAGTCTTTTATTCTGCTTATACCATATCACTCTGAACAATTACACAATTTGTTTATTATAAAACTTTTTGTCCATTTATAGTTACCTTTAATGTAGTGAAATATCAGTGAAACAAGTTAGTTCCTCTTGTTACTTTACAACAGCTCATGACACTCATTCTTCTCTATCTGTTGAATTTACTAAGGCAAGAAAATGTCATGTGACTCATAATCCATAAAGCACAAAGTCATCTGCCTTGAAGACTATCCACCAGTGGAAAACTTTATTTACTTTACAGTTTATCTCTCACTGTAACAAAGTGCTGAAACTGGAGACTCCTTCCATAATTGTTGAATAAATATTCTCATTCTGGCAACCTGCACCATATCAACTATTATATAGTTTTGTTTGTTCACTTGATTTTTCAAACTGCACTTTTTAAATACAACTATTTTTAGCTTAAATTATGTGAGCATACACCATACAAGTGCTTTGGCTGTTACTATACAAATGATTAGATAACTTATTAGAAAGGGTTCATTAATAAATGTGATTTGCATTGCAGCCAGAGCCACTGTTACAGAAAAGTGATCAATATCTTCTGCCCAATCAGCATCAACAGTTATAGGAAGTACACTGTATCTCAATTTGCCAGTATTCAAATTTTCAGTTGCTCTCATTTTTGCAGTGCTGGATCCTTTTTCACATATAATGAAAAATTTTAGCTGGATGCCTCATTTCCGAAGAACTGCTGATATGATTATAAATCAGTGCATGCCATCAAAACCAGTTCTGTGCTATTTCCATATTGAGACCCTCACAAATAATATTCTTATTTCTAACATCCTGTATATGTTTAATATAAACAATACTGTACCTTTCCTCTGCAGGACCCAAGTACTATTATACTGTGATTCATCAAGAACATCAAAATCCCCTCATCTGGTGTCACCCACAAGAGGAGGGTTTCCTATTTGAGCCTTGCTTTTCTCTAGGTTTCCTTCTTGTGCTTTCTCAAGGGAGTTTTAGCGTAGCCACACTCACCTCTGGCTAGCTCATTAGTGGTCTAGACTGGGATTTCTGTAAAGCTGCTTTGTGACAGTGCCTGTTGTTAAAAGTGCTATACAAATAAAATTTTAATGATTCTCTTTTTTCCATTTTTTTTCCATTACCCTTTCCATACATTTCATTAAATTTAATTAAAATATGTGTGGCAGCCTGGGGGGGTCCCTGGAGGACTAGTGGTTAGGCCTCAGCATTCTCACTGCCCCGGCCCAGGTTTGATTCCCGGCCAGGGAACCAACCCCAGCCACTAGGGCTGTACACGACAATGCTCTCCCAGTGCCGGGCCCGAGTCAGGATAAAATTGGGGAGGATTGCATCAGGAAGGGCATCCGGCGTAAAAACTGTGCCAAATCAAATATGCAGACCAATGATCCACTGTGGCCACCGCTAACGGGGCACCCAAAAGAAGAAGAACAATGTGTGGAAGCCTGGCCAAATTTTGAAATTTTGTACTATACATACACGATGTGGCCAAAAGTTTGTGGGCACGTGACCATCACACCTACATGTGCTTTTTGAACATCTCATTCCATTTTCAGTTCCCCCTTTGCTTTTATAATAACTTCCACTATTCTGGGAAGGCTTTCCATTAGATTTCAGAGAATGGATGTGGGGAGTTGTGTTCATTCAGCCACAAGAGCATTAGTGAGGTCAGACGTTGATGTCGGGCGAGGAGGCCTGAGGTGCAGTCAGTGTTCCAGTTCATCCCAAAGGTGTTTAATGGGGTTGAGGTCAGGGCTTTGTGCAGGCCACTTGAGCTCTTCCACTCCAGCTTTGGCAAAACATGTCTTCATGGAGCTCGCTTTGTACACAGGGGCATTGTCATGCTGGAAATGGTTTGGACCGCTTAGTTCCAGTGAAGGGAAATTGTAATGTTACAGCATATAAAGACATCATAAACAATTGTGTGCTTCCAACTTTGTGGAAATAGTTTGGGAAGCCACTCATGGCTTTTAAACCAGAGCCTCATTTTCATCTCTTCACTTGACTGATCTCTGTTCACTCTAACGTCAGTGGAGAAATAATCGCTGATTCGTTCAGTCAGCTCTGTTCTGTTGGTTAAATTTCTTGTTATTAATGTCTTTTTATTAGGTCATTTAAACAATTTTAAAATTTGTCTTCTGTCATGTGTACAGAGTGTGTAAGCGCTCTTCTCTGTTTTGATGATGCTGTGATGCAGAAGGAGCACCACAGACATTTTCACAGCCTGTATCTGATTACAAATTTAATTGATTAGGCTTATGTCCATTTTGCTATGATGTTACTATCCAAACACTTGATCAAATCATGAGAAATGGACACTTAGCTGGCAAGATTTTGACATATTTAGGCAGACTGACTGCAAACTGGCTCCATACCAGCAATCAGACAGCCAAGGACAGAAAGTAACCAAATAGGGTATGTAACTTCAAGTTATTTCAAATAAAAAGCTATTTCCATTGTTAATCAACTTTCTCCTGTATTGTTGACTGCTTGCTTATTAATGAATAGCAGCCTGTGATATATCGACATGTTTGTCAGACCGCTCTAACCGACAGCTAGACTAACCTCTTCTCCAGTTTGCTTATCTGCTCCTGCTCTCCTCTATAATGGGTCTGTTAGTGGGCTGGTACAGTGCCAGTGGTGACAGCGGAGAGATTGATGTCCACAGCCTGTATGGTGTCGACAGCAAAGCAGGGCACGGTGTTTCTAGCCGTGACAGGCCGCAGGGGGAGAATACGAGATGGAGTGGCCTGTGGAGCCCGTGATCCTGTCCTTACTCTTATGGCCCAATTTCAGGCATCAGGGTGGTCAGTGCATACTAGAGAGCTCACACAGAGTGAAAGAAAGGGATATTGAGAAAAAGCAATAAGGAAAAACATGTAAAGGAAGGGGATTTAACACATTGTCATTGAGTGGAGAATGGGCCGAAAATGCCCTGCATCCAAATGCAACAAAAACCTGCTACATCATTTCAGGACATTTTCTGCAGCATATTCTACATTATTTGCACATTAATGGCAGTGTTTAAACATTTCTGCTGGCTACCATCGTCTCTCTCTCTCTCTCGCTCTCTCTCTCTGGCTTTCTCTCCTACTCCCACAGGCAGCAGACCTCAAACCTCCAGCATATAAATTACTCTGTTTCCCACTGGAGTCCATTTCAGGCATTCGCTCGCCCACACACACTCTGGTGCCCAACCTACCTCCGCTTCAAGGCTGAGGCCTGGGGTCCAGCCTGGGGGCCACTTCACACACAAGTACTGTACTGGATAAAAAAACAAGAGCACAGACCAGGTCCTTTTCAAGAGAATTGGAGTTCAGGGTTAAACAGGTACCCCCTGTCATTCTTCCAGTGTACTAACCTCACTCCCAGTCTTCTGGTCCTCCCAGTGCTTCTTTGCTTCTCTCCTTTGTCTAGGAGATATTGATAATGCTAAATGAACCCTTAAATTTATCATCTCACGATGAATACTGAACTGAGCTACCATGCAATATGCATGCAGGATCATCCTTTCTCTAAATTGTATCCATGAGCTCCAACTTGTTTCAAATATTCATTTTATATTACTATGAATTTTACAAGGATTTCTACTGAATGTTAAGAGTAGAAATCTCAGCACATTAAAGTTACTACTGCTGGGTACATGGGCAAGGCCCTTAACCTTTTCTGCTTCAGGGGTCATATCATGGCAGACTCTGTGCTCTGACCCCAGCTTCCTTCCAACCTGGAATATTCTACATATACTCCAGTTTTCTCCCACCTCACAAAAACATGCCAGTAGGTGGATTGGCTACGCTAAATTGCCTGTAGGTGTGAATGAGTGTGCAAGTGGTGCCCTGTGATGGACAGGCATCCCATCTAGGGTGTACTTTCCTTCAGTGCTCCTGGGAGAGACTCCGGATCTACCACAATTCTGAACAGGATACAGCAGCTATGGAAGATAAATGAATGAATTCAATAATTGAAATATAAAATAGCAGTTTGTGGTTTTTGGCAGCATGGTGCCACAGCAGGTAGTGTTGGTGCCTCATAGGTCAAGGGTCTTGGGTTCAATCTTGAGCTCAAGCTAAGCTGTTTGGATACTTCAAATGAAAAAGATGTTTTTCTGAAGAAGAAAGACGCAGTGGTTTCAGTCTTTGTTCTAAAATCTCCCACTGTCCTCAGTTGGTCAAAATATCATGATTGTTTGCACCACTGTGTAAAGTGGCAGAGTAATTCATTGTGATTTGCTTGTCTTTTGCAGCTAGAATACATTTGAGGGAACACTTTATTATACCTTCCTTTTTTGACTTTTTAATTTGTTGAATAAACCAACACTACATCCCACATGTTTCATTGTCACATCTGTGCCTCTGACACCACTGCTCTTCTTTATTTACTCACTGTTTGACAGGGTTGCCAAATGTATTACAAAAATACAAGCCAAACACAAGCCAAATCCTCAGAATAAACTCCTTTCAAATATTGAAACAAATTTCAATATAACAGAATCAAAATAAATATTTCCCTAAAGAGTTCTTTTACAAAGGACCTAAAGTGATCTTGTAATCTTAGAGATACATAAAGAACAGCTAAAAGAATGAGTAGACCAGTTCCACTGATGTACAACATAATACATTGATACAGTCATGTGCACAGTTAATGCTAAGACAAAGCATTCAACCCATGTCAGCAGTTCAGAGTAATCTATAGATTCTGGCAACGTCATGATGTCACACATGGGCTCGGCTATCAACGCCTTCTGGCCCCTAGGAGAGCAGTGTCCTAGAAAGACATATAACAAATTTTTAATAGCATAAAGATGACTAGATGTTCACCAGTGGTTCTTGTTTGTCTAGTTCTTTTGACATGGGTTTCCTCTATTTCTCCACTTTCCTTCCACCTGTAGGAGGACTGCCTATGCTAAATTGCCCCTAAGGGTTTGAATGTGTGTGACTCATCCCAGCCAGGGAGTATTTCTGCTGTCTAATGTTCTCTGAAATGGTTCCAAATCTACCATGACCCTGACCAGGATCAATCATTTCCTGAAGCTGAATGGGTTTGTAATTTTCACATCCAACCAATTTTTAAGTCTCCGTACTGTTCTTAACATCCCCTACCCAAGAGTCTTTACGGAGCCTGGCTATCTAGTCGAAAGCAGAAGCCACCCAGCCCAAGTTCTCAGAATTCTCCCCTATTATTACAAGTGCACAATAACTCTCTGTATCATTTAGTTGAGAGTGTGAAATCTACATTCACAAATACAGACTTGGGGGAACTCTTGCAAACATTTAAACACACACAGCCACATTTGAACAAAACTAGTGTATAGAGCAGACATGCATTAAGCCACTTTGACATGAGGAGCAGTGCAGGTGATGGTCAGATAACACTGGAGGTAATTACCCTGCATCCCCCTTGTAATTTGAGGGGCATTGTCCCTTTTCCTTTGTCCTCAGATCAATTCTCTTGAGAATGAGCAACAGTGTTTTATTCACTAGTAATCAGTCAACACCACAGACTGAGTGATGGAGACAGACAGAGGATGACTGCACTGAAACACAGCATGTTCTCCGTTCAGTGGAATAGGATAGTGGATCTAAAACTAGCTCAAACCTGTCTGCTATCCTTCATTCAAGGTAAAACAACATGAAAGACATGCAGAAGGGTCAGCTCTTTTTAGTCTATCTTGGAAATTGCATTGTGACTGTCTTTTGCTACAATTTCAAAATATATCCTGCTGAAGTACCGGCCATCATACCGTCTCTACTGCAGTGACAGAGCTCTGTGACAGGGTGGATATCTTCCAAATTCAGTTCGCTCTAATGACACTCCTGCCAATTTCATCGCAGTGAGAAAGCTATCTTAAGACAGACAGAATGGGCTTTTGACATTTAGAGCCAGAGACATAATGCCTTCAGGGCAAATGAAGAGATTTTTACATTCATAATACAGTTTTCTTCTCTGACTGAGACAGACTGAGTGTAAGTTTATAACAAACATTCATCAGTCCTCTTAACTGTGGCAGGAGAAGTCAGGCACTGCTAGATGGAGGAAGGTTCCAATTATGCTGGAAATGTTTTAGACAGAAAAGCTGACTAAAAATTTAAATAGCTCATTTATTAAGCCCAGAATAAATATTAAAAACAAGGTTTATGTGCACTTAATCATCCATTGTCTAGTGTTGTAATGATGCAGTAGTGAATCTGCCTCTTAATTTGATACAAAACAACAAAAAAAGATTTAAGACTTGCTTTGCCTCCTCCAAATTT